AAGATTGCAGTTTTCAATATTTTAAAAATTTTTCTGTTTTCAAAATAAATTATGTTCTCTCTGTTTTCAAAACAAATGTATATTTTTTAAACTTTTAACGACAAACATATTTTTTGAGTTATTAGACTGTAATCAAAAGTTTTAGTAGTTTTACCCATGTGTAAACGTAAATATGAACACGTTCTCTTAAAACGTACTCCACGACGGCATCCCTGCTGATGAATTCACTTATTCGCATACGAGTTTAACCATTTCTATGTAATGCCTTATGTTAAATTGCTTCCAGAATACCACGAGTACGTCGTGCTTTCCTTCATTTAGTGCTTTATTTGCAGAGATGTAAACATGATGTCATAATAGGCTTAATGATTCCATGATCCATTGTTTGGATTAAGGAAATGGTGTTCTGTGAAAGTAATAAAACCTCTACCTTTGAATGCAATATTTAGAAGGCGTCAGCATCGTGTCCTGGGCATTATCGATAATTATGCGAACTTAAAGGCTCAGGTTTCCCTGTTCTAAGCAACGTGTGACTTCATTAGCTACCGTAATTATCCAATTTTTTATTATTCGGATAAACTGTGGCCTTCCTTACACCGAATAACTGTACTTTATTTACGTTTAAGATTTAAACCACTTTCACTCGAATGTCTGGATTCTCGACATCTAATTAACCTCACGAAACACTCCGGTATGGAACAGACAATTGAATGGAAGTTCTCCGAGTGATGCGCTTCATTAAATTTATTGCATCTACTTCTTCTGTATAGGGGGCGTGAGAGCTAAACAATGCTGTCTGTCTCCTGGCAACGGAGCGCCCGCCGCCCGCTTTTCATTTCTACCCTTTTCGGTTCTAGGGTTTTTGTTTCCGCTTTTCATTTCGGCGAGACGGCGAAATCCGTAATAGACGATCGGAAGAGTTCGTAGGGGACGTGGTCGTTTCCGTAATTAACGGCTTGGGAAATTAAGACGAATGGAAGAGGATCATAATATTTAAAATGAGCAAAGAGAGTTTCATTTCTGTGTATCCTCATTTCTTGACAGCTAAGTTTCACGAAATTGTAAGTTAGCCCGCTTATAGGGATAAACGTTATAAGGCAAATCTTATAACGCAGTTCAATCCAGATTACATGATATTTTGCTGGTTTGCATTTTCTAAATTTATTCACAAACAACGAACCGACAAATATGTTAAACCAAAGAAAGCAATCTCCCGTATATGTACATGTATATCTATTTATCTATAAAGAAGAATGTCTGTTTGTGTGTTTATTTGTTTGTTCGCGATACACTCAGTCACTACTATAGCTATGGTCAGCACACTTTCTACAATTCTTCTCTGGGTCCTGGAAAAGGCCGATGTCCACCTTTTTAAAAAAAAAAAAAAAAAAAAAAAAAAAAAAAAACCATATATTTCAATTGAATTTAACGAACTTCTGATTCAAACCTCAGCGATCTGAAAGCTTTGCACTGCCACTTTGCAAAAGCGTAAGATATAAATGTTTCAAATTTAATCAGAATGGTGGGCGATATAAAAAAAATGTGTTGCCACTCGGGAAGATGCAATTATATTAATTTGTCTCGAATTCAATAAAAACTCGGTTTTTTAAGAGAAATGTGTTGCACTGCCCAATTTAAACATTTGAAAGTGTGTTATCGTTCAGCAATGCGTAAAGTATTTAATTTTCACGCAATAACAAGTACACATCATTATGCATGTTATTGCATCACATGCATTTTCTTTCCTTTTGAAATTGAATTTGTAACAGTCCTCACAAAGCGTTACTTTTGTTGTGAAATCAATTATGGCCCTAAACGGAAACTAGACTCGATTGCACCTCAAGCACGAAAACAGCGTGCTTTAGACAGGGGAACAGACTAAGAGACACTGAAAACAGATTGAGAGTTGCTGAGATAGCGGAATAAACAATAATTAGAGAAGGATTACAACGGTATCAATCTCTCTGTTGTTAGATATATTGTAAGGATCCGAAGTTTTACTAACGTTTATTTTATTTTAAAACTGTACTATCACTTCTTATTTTCTACTTCCGGCCAGAACTGCATGCTTTAACTTGTTTATGGAAATTGTCTTGCTAACGCCAAGTACTTAAGTTGTGGCTTTTTGCCAAGCGACAGAGGAAGGAGTTATAGGAAGCAAGGCGCTTGCCACTGTAGTTTTACCGAGTTTTCACTCTGTTGCTGGTTGCCTTTATGGCCAGAGGTTTAGCCCTCTTTTTATTTGCGAACGTATCGTAGTTTAAGCAGCTCGGCGTACTACATACGAACCTTTCATTAAATAAAGGCCAATCTTAGTGCTAGGCATTTGTATACTAATTCAAAATTAGATTTTAGTTAGAGTTTTAGTTAGTAGTTTTATATTCTTACGTTCAGACCACGAGTGGTTGGTCTCTGTATTCCGAAGTTTCGGAAATACCTGTAAAAGATAGAAAATAAAGGGTTTCGTATACCCTTCCTGCTTGTGTTGTCTATTTCAAACCTTCCTGAACATAGCTTGAGTAAGCTCCCTGTTACTATTCAGGACCATTCATGTTTCCAGAGCAAATCAAGAGAAATACAAGTCCTGATAATGTTACTCTCAGTCTTACTTAATTGGAATCAGGTACTTCCACTAGTCTACATATATATATATAGGGTGGTTCAAAACTATATGTCAAAAATGTACAGGTAGGTAGAGGGAACCTGATTAAGAAGATTTCGTATAGGAATGTGTGTGCGATAATGATGCATTAAAGCGCTAGCACGAAAAGTAGGGCAGGGAACCACAACTTGTGTCGTTAGGCCTCGGATAACGGTTTGTTACATTTTGAAATGTATCCCCGGATAATAAAGGAATTGTTCAAATTAATTGAATGTGTTGGTGTTTAGTTTCAAATAATCTTTCTATATTGATAAATTCAAGATACATAGAAGCATGGAAATACACACAAATTAGAATCAGAATTAGGATTTTTAATTCAAATGACTTCATGCGATGTTTCAAATGGCAAATCGTTTGATGGCCATCAAACGTAAAGGGATAGATATGCCTTCGTGCAGACGTTGTTGCTGTTGTCGACTAATACTCACTTGTGTGAGCTATAGTCAGCCCAAGCCCACGAAATTCCTCGTGGCAAGGAGTGAAAGATACGCCTGGTCGTTGGCAACCGCTTTGTGCACCATACAGGCCACGCAGACGTTTTAAGGATATGAGAGAAAACCACGAAAACTCAATTCAACCCCATCAGTTCGCTAGGATTTGAACCTCTTGTAATTACTACTACAGCCTGCAAACTTCCCGTGGATTTCCATATGGCCTTCATTACTCTCAGGGATTAACAAAGTTTTGCTTCTAGTTTGAGAAAACTCGGGCTTGAATTGTTTTATTTTTGGTAATATTTCGCTGCATTCCATTGTTATTATAGCTGTGCTACATGATTTATTATAGAATCCAGGACACCTACCACCCTGTCTCCAAATACAATGTGTACCTTGCTTCACGCTGCTTCAGACATGCCTAAAAATAATGATTTAAGGCTCTACAACGATAACTGAAATAAGTTTGCAAATGAAGATCAGAATGTGAACTATAAACAAATGCACGTGCGATCATCAGAAGGACAAAATAAAATAAAAACAATAAATATACGAATAGCAATAAACTATAATTTTGCATTTGAGGAGAAAATTAACACAATTTTCACGGTAAATTTTGCTAATTCATGTAGGGATGGATTGGCCACGTAGTGCCGGCATCTAGTAAGGCGGAGCGTGTAAGCCGCATGAAACTAGTTGACCCTGGATAATTCACATCGCAGATTACTACATTTGCAAACAATATCTCAAAATATAAAAATTATATTATATGATTTAGCGATGACGAATTTTGATAGATATTCCTACGGTGAAATATCAGCAAAGCTATTGTTTTAAAAGGCATGACTTTTTTTCAAAAGATGCAATCGAATGACATCTTATCTGTTCTCAGATACGTAAAACTATGACGAAGATAACATAACCTGGACATAACCTGGACGAAAGACATAACCTGGACATAATCATTTTCAAATTACTCTCCTAATCGGGATTGTAGTGCTTATGTTGTATGGGATATTTGCTATGTGGCAACGAATTTTCGCTTCCGATACAAACAATAGTATCATAGGTAAAAATATTAGAAGAAACCTTTCTGTAACAGAAACACGTTACGTATAGCTATAATTTTCACAAATGCTGGAAACTCTCTAGTTTGCATAAAACTGCAGCCAATGGGAAAACGAGAGGATCTTCCACATTGCTGAGGCCTCTTCAGTAGCCGAGCGGTTAAAAACTGCTTAATATTATTAGTTCCTCCCAAATTCGAACCCGTGTAATTTCACATCCCCCCCAACCATGTAAAAGGACTGGGTGAATTACTGATTTCTGCAATTTTTTATATATGTGACGTGAATGCAAACTAGTTTCCCATTGAAAGTTCCTCACGAAGGCATATCTCTTCTTAGATAGAGAGTTCTCGTTTGCCTTGCCATATTAAAAATATCTACCTAGGCAACCAATTAACACTGCTTTTTTTCTTATTTAAATGGAACTCATTTAGAATACCTTTTATGGTTTTGAAAAGAAATGTAATAAAATACGTGGTTTGAAATATCACAGAAGTGTGGTTTGAAGTATATTTTTAATACGATTAAAAGACTGCATAAAAGATTGCATAAATAAAATAGCCTAATACTTTCTGTTTCCATTCTGCGTGAGTTTTCAGCATTTTCCCCTTCCTAAAGCATGCATTTATTTTTATTAATATCAAGATTTTGAAGAATTGTTAAAATATAAGCTCAGATTTCGAAAAGTAAGTTAAAGAAATTTCTGATTTTTCAAAAAGCAAAAGCTTCAGAAAAACACCATCATAACAATGTCACAAATGTTTGAAATCAGAACATGATTTAAATAGTAAATTCATCATAAAGAAAATATGTTCCAAACAGGAAAACGTAACTTACCCTGTATTGTCTATGAGAGTCAGATTGTTGCCACCAATTCCGTCTTTGGCTACTAAATTTCGAACAAAGATTCCGTACGTGTCTAAAAAGAGAAAAAAAGAACTTAGATAAAAGAATCTTGAAGCTTGTTTTTAAGAAAAATCCTTTAAACTTGAAAATTAAGAAATTTCCATTACAATTACATTTAATTAAGAAATGACATTACAATTAAGAAATTTCCATTGGCTGTGCTAGCATTCAAGGAAATACCTAATATGGACACCACATGATTTGCTTGTACGGCCTACTAAATAATACACATTTTTTGCCGCGTTTCTTTTAAACTTATTTTCTCAAATTTCATTAGGGATATATTCTTCTTTCAATTAATTCACTTCCCACTTTGCGGCAAGACAAAGATACATAAAAACCCAAAACATCTTCACTAAAGATTGTAAAATACAGAAAAACATCAAATTCAGTTAAAAACAGATTACATATAACTTTTAAAATTAAAATTAGTGTTTGTACACAATTTGGCCAGTGGAGACAAATTTTTCGGTGCACTAATCTCAGGTGCATAAACTGACTTCGTTCACTATTTTACTAAGAGTTTCAAATATAAACAAATAGCGACCTCGTTAAGTTTAGCACCACTTAAAGAACTTTTAAATTGCCGATATTTAAACCTATTGCATGCAGATTAACTAAAGGCATAAAAACCTTAACCGGATCATAAGAACAACATAATTCAATCACTTTTAAAGTAAAAGATACACAATTTACTAACATATAAGAATAAAAAATCTGAGCTCATCGATATATATATATATACTGAATGTACTCGGCCGATTGAAACCAAAAAGAGAGTTGCACAACTAGATGTTATAGCAGTCCCATATACAAAATTTCAACGTTCTGAGGCATACATACGTAGGCATACAACGTTCATACATACTGTAGGTATGCAAGTACTGACGTCGCGAAAAAGTCTCTTCTGAATCCATTTTAAAAAGTCCTTTATTCTGTCCGTACAGATGTCATGCAAAAACGTCGTTCAAGTGTATTCGAGAGCGGACAAAATGGATATTTTTGTTGAAATGATACCCAAAATTTTTCGAGATAATAATAATTCCTGTACTTAGTAAAAAGAGATAATAATATAAAGAGTTGCCAACCGGCAAAATTAAATTCTTATTACTCAATAAAATTGATTAATTTTTTTTTTAATATTTCATGTTTATCCCTACATTTTCCGGGAGGAGTAAGTGAAACTGTGCAAATGAAAATTATCAAATTATTAGAAAAAGTATATAACCCTTTGAAAAAAAATTAAAATCAGATGTACATACAGACGCTTGCAATCTACATGTCACAAGGAAATTTCATCATAATCTTTTTCTTATAATTAATTGAAAAGATAATGGAGACTGAAGCGATTTTATTTTTGATGCAGTTGGTAATGGACAGAGTACGTTTTAAATTTCGTTATTGATATGCTTATTAAAATATATTTTGACTCTCACATTTGGGGTATAGAATAAAATTTTTTGCAAAATGAATTTAGGATATAAATGAAAAATAACCTTTTCATTCAGCTTCTCACATAATGTATTCTCAGACTGTTACCATTCGCCAGAGTGTAAGATTATTAACATTTATCTTCCATTTTAAATACGGAAGTGGTTTACTTAAAAACGTAAGCGATTTAAAAGCAACTACGTATTTCCTGATGATTTAAATGTTTATTTAATTTTTAGCAATCTATATAAATGAAACAATTTGCAGTGTATCACGTAGATGACTTTTAGAATATGTTCAACATTACTCTAATGAAACCATAATGTTTCTGTTTCAGTATATTACGTACTTCGGAACAGAATAAAGTTTGCATATCGACTAATAATGGATTTTATAAAATTGCAATATACCTGTACTGCTCTTAATAACCTTATAGAGGAATACATTTTTTTGTATTACGAGAGATTATCGAAATGTTCATAAAAGGAAAATAAAATCGGGGAAGATTTACAAGGAAATTTACGCATTGTTATGTAGCCCTATATATAAGACTTAATGAGAAATCTGCAGTTTATAGAATAATATATTTGTTTAAATATACATAAGTTTGAATCATGAACGGAAATTCTAAAGATCGACGAAACTGAAGTTCGAGTTGTGCTAAAGTACTTATATGTGAAACACATCGTAGACGCAGGATATTGATAAGATTTTTATGTGACACAACTTTTAAAGAATTATTAACAACAATTTGTTTCGGAAAAACGCTTCTGAAAATGATCCACACCATGGTACTTTATTTACAACACAAACAAAGGAAATGACTGCCAAAGGGAAAAAAATCAAAATGCTATCTATACAAATGATTATTGGCCACGTAACAGAGACTGGATATTTTCCACTGGTAACAAACAGTCTATTTTAAGAAAATATGCCAAATATTACAAAAATTTCAACCTGATTGGTGTTCAGAATGATAATGATGGCAGAGAAAACAGAATATGCGTAGATTTTGAAATTAACGTTTTCGACAGAGCGTTTTTATCGAGATATGTGACAGGGGATGAAATGTAGATAGTAAACAGCAGAGCATCTAGGAACAGGCCTCTTCTCTTATCAGCAAGAAGTTTCATGGGACAATATCATACGCTTTACTTAAGGCCAACATTTTCTGAAATATCAAACAGCTGTTGTTACAAGAGAGTAAATCTGAATTAGTTTTAGAAATAAAAATTCAAAGGACATAATACAAATGAAAACTGTCGATCACTGGTGATCTTCGGTCATTAGTGACTTATGATTACTGGCTATCAATGCATAAAGTCACTAGTGTGTGAGGCCGTGTAGTAAATTTAAATAAAAATGTTAATTAAATGAAATAAAGGGGCACTTTTGATATTAACCGAAAGTCATCGGCAACCCTGTAACTGTAGCTGGTCACTGATAACTTATGAGCTTTCAACCACTCATGAGTATAGGGTAGGGCAATGTTGTTGCAGTGGCAAGATCTGCCAAAGCAGTGGAATGGTAAACATTTCGTAACGTAAAGTAATGCAATATGTTTTAAAAGATTCCATTAATGACAATTCTACCATCGAAATCTAGATATTAGAAAGGAGTTGAATGTCTTTACGGCAGAATTTATATACTTCTGATGGCTGGTTTATAGAGCAGTATGAAAAATTTTCTCCCAAAAATTATGCTCACTGCAGAAACATTGGAAAATATTGTTGCAAAATGGCCAGCTGTGGTAAGATAGATTTCCCGCAAAGCGGGATCACGGTTGCTATATTTGGCTCAAAATAACCCATTTGGCGCATTCTAGAACGCATTCTTAGCGGTTTTCTCGGGAATATTCTGGAAGGTAGGTTAAAGATATATATACCGTGCCTGTACTCGTAATAGTAGTGTCTTGAGTCAGAGAGCTTGAGAGTGATCAACTGAGTCTGGAGCTGTGCTTTAATGCTTAGCTGTCTTCACCATTATAGCCTGATATCCTGAGGACTGCTATGCTGAATGTTTCAGCGTGTTTGTAGTAGTTTTTCGACGACACTATATGTGTCTTCGGAACTTTCCCGTGTAATACTTGCGTAATAGTAAATTCACCATCATGTTAACATCAATTACTCCAAATCCACGAACCCGTAGATCGCAACATGTTTTGCGACCCCTTCCCTAAAACAAAATTCTATGAGAGGAATTTTTTTTTTCTAATTATTCGGTTCAACTAGTACAATTTTTTTATAACCTTTGTTTAGCTCACCCATGGTATTTGTCGCTATGGTCAAAAATTTGTCATCGATTTTTAAAATACTTCCTAATCGAGTTCAAATTTTATACACGCGCTGCTTGTTGATGACAATACAAAGTGATAAAGTGATTTTTTTTTCAAATTTCAATTTATATTATCTAAATTCATTACTGAAACGACTTTCGCATGTATCATCTTTTAACAAACAAATCAAAATTTCAGAATTTTGCTGTTTACACCATCGAATAGAGCGAGAAAATATCTCTTAATATGAAAATTTTAATTTATCTCTTAATATGAAAATTTTAACCTAATTTCTGATTTTTTAAATTTTATTTATTTATTTTTTATTTTATTTTATTATTATTTTTGGGGGGGGTTGTTTAATTTTCGAAAATCGCCTGATTATTTTCGACGATTTAACGATTATTATCTTAAAAGTGAAATCTCTCAGTATGTATCAGATATACAGCTGCTTTGATCTGCCACAGAACATGAAACAAACCTTTCGCTTTCTTTTAAAATAAGAATGATAAAAAGACATTTATTAGGCAATTTTCTTTTAAAATAAGAATGATAAAAAGACATTTATTAGGCAATTTTCTATGTAAAAAAAATGTAGTATTCTGAAATAGAAGGGGGGAAATAGGTTCATCTTTAGCATCGCTTGCAAACATAGTTTTAAGTTTACGGTGCAATTAAATCACATGATTTTTCTTGCTTCCGTACAGATTTCTCTAAAGTTGATTTTGTTTATTTATCATATTATACGTTTTTATCTCACCCGCGGTGTTTGTCGCTATGCCAAAAGTTTTCCATCTATTTTTAAACTAATTCCTGATAAGCTATCGAATTCGAAAGTTGTACACACACTGTTTGCGGATGACACTAGAATGTGCTGAAACCATTTTTTTAAAATTTCTATTTATATTTTATGAAATTTAATGCTAAAACGATTTTCTACACATATCTTTGTTTACAAATAAACAAAGAATCTCAAATGTTTGCACCATCGGATAAGCCCCCAACAAAAAAAAAAAAAAAGAAATAAAATTTATATTAATAAAATTTCTGATTCTTTGGAAACACCACTGGATTTCTTCGACCAATTGACAAAACAGAAAAATTGGAAACAAAACAGTGATTATTCATGGTTCGAAACGGATTTTCAGTCGAATAATTTGATTAATAACATTTCATTGAAACTATGAACGAAAAAGAAATTCCCCTACAACAAACTTCGATACAATAAATTACTGAATTGAAAGAAGAAAAATAATTTAACATATAGTTTAATCAGAATAAAAGATTAAATAATTCTCTTTATAGAA